CACACAGTTTGACTCTTTGATGGAAAATGAAAAAATAACTACACTATCTAAGTATGCTGGTTTCCATAAGAATGCAAACCTGATAAATGCGGTTTTATTGCTTTTTAAATGACTGAGGCAAAAGCCTGTGAGGAGTCTGCTGCCCTCATTACTTTTGTACAAATTGTCTTTTTTTACTTATAGTTCAGTCTGGCAGATATCATATGCCACTTAACTCCCTGCCTTTACAGTTAAATTACTATAGTGTTTGGGACATGCAGTCATACAAAAGCAAACACATAACACACAGCTCCTCACAAGCATATGTTAATACATGCACATACATTTCTTACACCCATGCTCAATTGGACATGTACGATTTAGAGAGAGAGAGAGAGAGAGAGAGAGAGAGAGAGAGAGAGAGAGAGAGAGAGAGAGAGAGAGAGAGAGAGAGAGAGAGAGAGAGAGAGAGAGAGAGAGAGAGAGAGAGAGAGAGAGAGAGAGAGAGAGAGAGAGAGAGAGAGAGAGAGAGAGAGAGAGTTCAGGTCTGGGGCAGTGGAAAGTGGCTGTTTTTGTCACAGTAAAAAAAGGGAGAAAGTAAGGAAGGAGGAGGGAGTGCTCTACAGCAGAGGTGGATAGACGGAAACAGTGCAGTCTACAGCGGTATTGTCCCGCCAAGAGCGGACGTTGGGGTCACATGGAAACTTTCCCCCTCCGATTCTCAGGCAGGAGAAGTTGTCGGTATTGAGTATCCTAGAGAAGAAAAAAGGGAAACCGTAAATTGAAGATCCAGACGTGAAGATGGAAAAGTTTGTCAGTTCAACGAGTAGTTTTGGATGTAATGGGACTATTTGAGTGTTTCCCTGTAAAGCCACTTCCTCCTAGACCATACAGATGCCTTAAATCATTTCCCTAATTAGTTACCCGGCTAAAATATTTGATAATGAGTTTTCATATAATACAAAACACATAATCAAATTACTGTAACAATAGCAGCAGTAGCACCATAGAGGGGAGTGGATGAAGAACAGGTAGAACTTGATCAAAGACACTAAGAGCAAACATTGAGAGTCCACATTTGAATCAGTGGTGGCCTGTTAATGTCTGCGGTCACATGCAAGGCTTATACAGTAGGATTAGGCTGCAGCATGTTATGTGTGTTATGTACCACAGTCAGGGATAAGGCAAAACTGTGTCAGGGGAGCCAATTATCATTTTTGGCAGGAGTTGTTTTTAAAACCATTCTCATCCTCCGTTGACAATCTGTAGCAGATGTTTCAAAGATACAAGAATCACAAAGCCTCAGTGGCTTGTTATCTATAAGGGTTTACTGAACAAGTCAGTCCATCCATTCCTACATTTTTAGATACACTTATGGTACAGTATGGCTCTATGAAGGATTGATCCGCTTTGGTTCAGACTAAAACAAATCTCAACAACGATTTGATGGATTGAGATGGTGTATGGACATGCCCAGTGCCTAGAGGATGAATCCTATGACTATGATGATGCCGTTTTCTTTTTCATCTAGAGCCAATAGCCAACAGTTGTCATTAATCCAGTGAACTTCTACTAAATGGATAGACACAACATTTGTACAGGTCTTTTGGTTAGGATCAAGTTGCATCTTCCGGGTCTCAAAAGTTAAGTCAATGTGCTTTTACCTGCTTTCTTTCTAATGGCCAACAAGAGGCAACTCTAGTAATGGCAAAAAGAAGTCCAATTGTACAGAAGTCTTAGAAAACTACCATAAAGAGTTTAACTCCTTGATGGAAAATACAAATGAACTACATTATCTAATTATGCTGGTTTCAATAAGAATGCTTGATTCCTAATGCCTTTATGGTCTCAATCACTTGTCTTGTTACCCTTACATATAGCATGATTTTGAAACTGCAGGTACATTTGCAGTAAAATACAGAACAAAGCAGAGTATGCTTGAGGGGGGTTCGACAGGTCGCTACCAATGGGTTGACCTTTTTGAATGTTGTCTGTGTTTACTTCATTTAAAAGTTAAATGCTTCCAAATGTTCAGTTTCTGTCAAGAAAAGTAAACTGTCATATTTCTGTTGCCTAAAGTGTCTGCTTCGGTTATACTGCTCTACTCCATCATGACAAAATAACGAGATGGCACATATTCCTCAAAACAGTAGTCCCTAGTAGTGCTAGTTTGTTTTATAATGTCTATGGTTATGATATAGTCCCTGCACATCTAGACAAGATAATCCTATCTGCCTCAGTGTTACTTTGTGGTTAGTGCTAATAATCAAATATTACCATGCTAACAGGATAAACTAATTTTTAAATGAAGTTTTTAATACTGCTACTTTGAACTTTATGTAGCTTGAGGCAGCCCACTTGACACACAAATCCTAAACCATTAGCTGCTCCACCCCACAACTAATTAAACCCCTGCCCCCTCGCCATCAACACTAAATGATCGGTCAGAGGAAGTGATCAGTTCAGGTCAGATTCCTATGTTTTTTCATGTCCCATGTTCACACTCTCTAAGGGAGCGGGTGCATGCCACGCAGCAGTCCTCGGACTATTAATAGTCGTGAGGGATGGAGTCGGGGGCAATCTGGATGGCGTGTATACATTTAGACCCTCCCCCTGGATGTTTCGTTGATGTCAAAAGACTGACCTCTGACCCAGGAGCCTGGCTGCCACAAGGCCCATGTTGAACTTGAATTGAAGGGGTCCAAATGCAAGCAAACAAACAAACAAACAAACTGCAAACACATGTACAGTACACATGCATAAATGCACTAATTTAATGTATAATCCAAAACTGTTTTTAAAATAGAGCTGGACAAGTATGTCACCAAAGTGCTCATGGTTCAGTAGATTCTTCCCCAAGAGAAATCATCACATGACATCTTCTGACACACTAACTGGCTTTGGAGCTTCTTTGTCTTTCATTCTCAAACTAGTCGGTGTGCGGACAGCAGCACCGTTTTTTCCCTCATAAAGAATCAAAGTATCAAATGAATCATCTGCCGTGTTCTGTCCTGAGAGTTTTGCACTTAAATCCATAACGTCGTACACGATCAAGCACTGATTTTTAAGAGATTTTGAAATACAGTTAGAGTAGGGTGATTGGGTAAAGTGCTCACACAGGTTCCCACAGCCTGATCCAGTGTCTCTGCCCCTGCCAGAGTTATGTGATGGATCAGAGGGCGGGGGGGTTGACATGCATAAACGGGGACAGAGGCAACTGATCTTCAAGCTATGCCAGCCCACACTCTTTGGATATCTTGTGCACAGCACCACGGAAGAGACCTTAACACACAAACATAACAACATTGTTCAAGCCACGATTGCTCGTCTTATTTTTGGGTTTGATAAAGTTGTTGTTGGATACCGATAAAGCCATGACCATGTAATAGTAAGAGCTTTGTTGAAATGAAATGAATAGTGATACCGGATTAAAACGACTCAACATGATCTGTATACAGTTTAGGTTTCAGAAAGTTACGACGGATAGGATATGCTTCTGTGAGAGCTAAGAGTCGAGATCTGCTTTGAATTGTACACGATTTTGCACACATGGATATTGACTAGTTGATAGTCAAACAGTGGACATCTATGCTTTGATTATAACTCTAGACACAATGGATGTTGACAGTCCAAATGCCACCTTTTACCCTTGAGGAACTCACAAACAACATTCTTGCCCTGAAATGTCTTCCACACTATGAACCACACAATTTATAATATATTTTATATCACAACCTGAATCTATCACAGATTTGTCTTTATTGCTTTACATTTATATTTCCGTTGTATCTGATTCTTCTAAAGCAAAAACAATTACATGCACAATGTTGTTGTTTTTATTAAGGTTATTGTAAGTTTATTCCTGACACTTCATTAGATTCTGCATTGATTTAAAAAAAAAAAAAAAACGGTTAACGTTTATCAAGACTTAACATTCAAAGGGACAGAATGCAAAACAGTCCATTATTGCAAAACATAAAACTTTCGGACACATGCAGGTTACAGATTTCTCTCTTTATTTTATTTTAGGTTAAAGAGAACACCCTATATATTTGCATACAACTTCCTAGATTTGTTTCTACACTGAAATGTATTTCACCTAAACACCTTTTCAGTTTTAGCAAGACATTTCTTCCAATGTTTTGAGATTGTGTCACTACGACAATAATATAGTGTGTGTAATGGTCTAACAGTAATTTAAAAGGACATTAGTGCAGTAGAGAGCCCTGGAGCTTGAGCAGGAGCATTTGCTGGGTTATCCATCTCACTTTGTAAATTTGGCCAAACTGGCAATACAAACTGTATCCAACCCACATCTTTCAAACGTACTAATTACCCAAACCCCTCAGGAATAATTGGTGAAAATGTTGTTGTGACTTCTTGGTCAGTTTGATGAATAAGTCCAGATGTAGCCAATAAAACATGCAAAAGACACTGCTAAGATCATTGTGCTTCTGATTTCAAACAGAATCATCACGATTTCCTCTCTAATAAAAATGAATCACCCACAATATCAAATTTGGATAAGAAATGGCAATTGACGCCCCTGACCGTCAACCAAACCACCGGGTGACAAGTCTCCACAGTCTCTACGCACGGAGAGCGCACGGTGAGTTTGCAAGCAAGCATGGGGATCCCTCCCTTCCATGCTGTCCGTGGCCTCTTCGCCCGGGCGGGCAGTTCCAAGACTCAGCCAAACCCTCCCGATCCCCCATTTCCCTCTCCCTACCTTTCCTCTGAAGAAACAACCCGGCGTTACGTCAGAAAGTGCAGGGCAAGCAAGACAGCGTCTTAGGAGCTATTCGTAGGCATTGCTGCCAAACCCGGCTTCGGGCTGCTCACGAGCTCACTGCAGCCAATGCAATTTACAAATGCAACCCTTTTGAAACAACAGCAGTATGTGGTAAGTCACTTAATCATCCATATGGTTTTATTGACGCGCTGGGATTTTTCTCTCTCACAGCTTTCTTCACATGACAGGTCTCTGTTGCTGGCACAATTGCGCAAAAAAGCAACAACAACATTGTAAACGGTGTAAAGATAAATAGTAGGCTGGTTTACCCTGTAGCCTCACTGAAAACACCATGACATGATGAAGCAACAGAGATACTTGTCGCACAGAGATTTCTGCAGCAATTTTTGTGTGTGATTCTTTGCTTATCTCAAAGACAACATGCCCCACGCTCGAAATAGGAACCCCAGCCCCATCCCAGAGGTAACATGGGACACGGGACTGAAGGAGATGAACGAGACCTGGAAAGGAGCTATAGCCTGTCTCGGGGTTGCCGTCTTTTTTGTCATGACTATCGGGATCATTTATTGGCAAGTGGTGGACCAGCCAAACAAGAACTGGATCCTCAGGGGGACTTTTAGCGGACTGATCTGGGAGAGAAGAACCCACTCGCTGGTCATAGAGACCCTGGCGGAGGACAAGACCTATGTGGAGATAGACGTTGGGAACGTGGGGAACGCCGACATCGAGGTTCCCTTTGTGAGGAACCTGTGCTGGCTGAATAAAACCGAGTTCTGCTATACGTGGGACTCGGTGGCCGAGGTGAAGATTTCCCTGGAGGTGAATGAGGAGACGGAGTGCTACAGTATGACCTGGGTGCCGGTGCACTGTCATGTGGAGCTGAAGGTAAGGTTACCCTCTCAGAGTGCAAGAAAATAAGTTGAACCAAATACAATCAATATGCCATTTTACGCACTATGTCATGTGCAAAAGGCAGTTTTGCATATATCACTTTCATGCCTTAATTTGTAGTTTACTTGATGCTTATTGGCATTTCATTTCGTATGGCTGTTGTGATTTTGGTGCACAATGTAAAACACAAAATCATCGTTTTATTTCTCATACAAATGAATTACAAGACGTCTTGTTAGTTGTCTGTTTTATATAAGTGGTCTTCCTTAAATGGTCAACTGATTTCCACTATCAAGGCTGAAAAATATCAATTAAATGTGTGTCCCAAAAACACGGTATATTTGCAGCATACCACAATCCAATGACATAAATAACTGTATTCATTAGATTCAGATATAAAATCTTGCAATTTTTTATTTATTTTTATTACCATGAAATCCTACAATATTTTTGATTTGAGTTATTATTTAAATGTATGTTATAGACCAAAAATATATTTGCGTGACTGCCTCAGCCCTCAATTTAACTACATTCAATTTGTAAGGCTTTTTGACATGCACAGTACTCCCCCCCCCCCCCCCCCATCTTAATTATCAAAGGCATTGAACTATTGGGATGTTTGGGGAGGTTAATCTGTCCCCACTGGAACATTCCTCACCATAACCCCCTGTCATGTGATGCGCCTGCTCACAGAAAATCTTTCCAACCCAAAGTCGCCTTTATTTTACCATTTTACTTGGCACCTGTTTCCAAACTCCTTAGCAGAGCCCGGATTTGCTGACGTGAAATAAATAAGCTGCCATTCTGCACATTTGTCCCCCACGCGTAAAGGCGCTTTGAGGGAGGACAGACTTTCTCTTAGAAAACCCTCTGTCATTCAATCCCTCCTGCGTGCAATGCTTTCTGAGACAGTCTCTTGTGCCAGCCATAACATACCCTGCATTTCTCCAGTAAAGTAGCAGTAACTTGCTCTGTCAAAGATTAGAATCATCAATACTCTAAGTTATCAGGTATATAATGTGATAAATCTGAAAACATCAACTCGACAGTCCTTACAGCCACTCATGCTTTTTATTTACACCCATTATTTACATTTTAGTCAGCCAAAAGCATTTGAGGAAATTGAGTGTTTTTCTAATACCATCTACTGTCTTTTGATACGCCTTAACACTCTTTTTATCAATAAACTTTTACAAATATTTCAGCATCAATTTCACATCTCTAACAGCTAACGTCTAACAGCTGTCTTGCCTCTCTCTTTATAAATGTCTACCTCTTTCAATTCCTTGTGGGTCTTTCTCCCTAACACTGTTTTTGTGCATGTCTGCATCCTTTCAGGACTGCTTCTCCATGACCAACGTGTCCTGGTACGGTGGTGCTAGTGTCCGTGGTCAGACCTGGCCCATCAACGATCAGAACGCCACCATGCAGCCGTTTGTTGTGAGTGATCTTAAGAACAATCCATTTGGCTTCGGCTCCGCTTTGGAGCGCTACTTCCTGGGCTCATCAGGTGAGAGGTCATTGTTGGAATCAATCATTTTGCATCAACTGAGATTTACTGTTAGTGTAGTAGACTGTCATGTCATTAGCAAAAGTGGAGTAACAGTTCTTCTTCACACCTTGGTCTGTCACAATAAGTAGGACCTTTTGAAATCTTTAATATGACACATTGTCAGCTGTTCTTCCACACTTGCCATAAGTGCAGGGTGAGCACAAGGGCTTGGGAAATGTGACCCCATATCAGCTGGTATAAGATGTGTGGCGTGAATCCCAGGGCGTGAGGGAAGCCCTGTGGATGTTGTTGTGTTTTTCCCCACCCCCTCATGCATGTGTTTGTTTGTGTTTGAGCTGAGAAAAATAGTCTGACCGCCTCCAAAACCAGCTGCCCTCCCAAAAAAACACAAACCACTGACTGGATAGGACGACCCTCCCAGTAATAGAGTGTAACACGATACTGTCTGTGGCATCTTAGTGCATTAATTTAGAGATTAAACTACAAAGGGAAGCAAACCACCTTTAACATCTTAAATTAACTCTACTGGGGTAATTGCCTTTTGTTTCTATTAAAAGGGCAGGTTGGATGAGGGACCTGCTGACTCTTATAACTCACCAGGTTATTTAAGGGGTGTTAGATTTTTTATCCTGGGGGCAAAAGGGGGGGATGCAAGGACCAGTGGCGGATGTGAATGGTTAATGTGACTGATGAGGAACGTGTGTGTGTGTGTATGTGTTGCTTTCAAGCTGTGTTTGTGTGGAGTTAGCTTACTTGCTTACTGCTGAATAAACTAATCAACCTATCTTGAAACATGAATAAGATACTCTGATTTACAACCAGACATTTCAAAATCCCATTTTACACCAATGAACATTGGAAAATAGACTATTTTTTACATTTACTAAGATGTTAGACTTTGCTTGGGAATCCTTTGCAAGTATAAATGTGTGTATTAAATATCTTGAAAGTTCTCAAATCTAAATAATAATATTGAATAAACACCAATAAGGTCAAACAAACAATTATCGATAATGGCTTTGCTTATTTTTAGCAGCAGTCTCACATACATTAATGACAGAAACAAATGCATGCACATACACATACACATTTTGGGATATTATGTAACACAGTGGCAGGCTTAACAAGAGAGTCACATGACTTAAATCCCTTTTCCACCTTGTGAAAGGACGCCCGTAATTATCAGGACCCTTTAACCCTTTGTTTCTCCGTCTAGCTTTGCACTGAGAACAAAAAACAAAGATGAGATCCCTGTGAGAGCAACTGTTTGAACGTTGCCAAGAAACGACTCGCAGACACACACAGTACATAGCCCCAAACATAGCAAACTGATGCTCAGCAATGACAGCAATGCCTGATGGAGCGTTTAAGGTATATTTAACATGATATCTTGCTTTAAAGTTCAAGGATGTTTTTGTTTGGCTCTTATAATGTTCCTCAGAGAAAATTGTTGTTCACAACTGAAGACCTATTGCAATTAGTATACTTGGCTGCTCTCCTTTATCTAGGATCTGTTTAAATAATTATTGATGAATGATCATAATGAAGTTGGACTGTTTGCTTATCCATGCAGCTCATGAGTTTAAAACAAAAGAGACCTAACAATGTAAGCTGTCAGGCTTCAGATTTGGTAAATGTAAATGTTGGTAAAGGGTTTAACCATCAGATTTGGAAGGTCCCATGCTGCAGGTAGAAAAGTGCTATTTTCATTTTCAACACAAACTTGGTGTTTTGGTGGTGATTCATCATGAGCCCTTATCGGAGAATAAGCACAATTACAGTGTCAAATGTGCAATTCAATTACGCATTACGGGAAATAAAAAGTGTCTGATTGTTACTGGTATACTCAAAAGTTTGCAGCCTGTATGAGGATCAGTTGATTCCCTTATTTCAGGGTTAGGTATAGGTTCCATTTTTTGTGCATATTTTGTGTGATGCGCACAGGAAATCCAATTGTTACCCTGCATAAATCTCATAAAAGTCCTTATTCGAAGTCCTTCGGGCTCCTGTAAAATAACGTGTAACTGTGATGTGCACATCAGATGGGTTGACCATCATAATTACTTTCGCCAAGGAGGTTCTATTGGGTTGTTTTGTAGTTGTCTGTTTGTCAGCAAGAGAAACTACTGGCATGATGTTCATAAGATGTGGTGGAAGGGTGTACCATGTCCAAGAAAGACCCTATCAGAAATATCAGAATATCAGACTGTCACTGCAGCATTAGCCATTCTCTTCTTTCCATCAGCTCTGACTAAGCAATGACTGTGTTGTTGTTGTTGTTGTTGTTGTTGTTGTTGTTGTTGTTGTTGTGTGATGGGAAACAATTGAAGCAGCTTTAATGCGGATAAACAATCCACAAATATGTGAGGATAGTTAACAGGATCCTTCTTGGAAACTGTGAGTTTATGCAACCGTGTGAGGTTTAATCAGATTATCGGTTTGATCCTAGTTTTGGCAGTAAAATGTTATTGTTTATGCATGTAGACTGACCAAAATCAAATTGAATGCAGAGCTAAAAAGTACTTACAGCACTTAAAATACAGACAACATACTAAACCAACTATTTTCTATAGACCAAATGTAAATTATAAATTGTTGTGTGTTTCAGAAAATAGAGGGACTCTGCTTTCAATAATCAGACAAAAGTGAACTTAATTACAAGATTTGAAGTACATTATTATGTAAACCCTACCATTTGTAAATGATTATCCTCTCAGGAAATGCAGCTTTAATGTTCTGCTTTTAACTATTTATCATTCATTATGATTCAAGCCTCATTTCTAAATTAGTTGCGGGTTTGTTTCTTCAGCTCCCGTCGGGTGAAAAAGACCTCTAGTATGTTTGTTTTGCTCAAAACAGATTCCTGAAAGGCATAGCACCATTTCTAATAAAAAAGCAAAGGTCAGCACATGTTTAAATCATTTTTGGTGAATTGTACTTACAGCATAATTAACAGACTGACAAATCTACATTTTGATGCCTCATGTTTTACTGAATCTGCTTATACTGCCGTTTTAGTTTAATATTGGCTTTGCAGCTGTCTAAGCCCAGAGACTGTATGTATGGGACCTGTCTCCACTGCTTCTAGTTAGTCATAGGAGCACATTATTAGTGTGGTAAGCAATATGGAGCTGTGGCTGACGTTAGTAAGCTAAGAGGACTCCTGGGGACGGTTTAAGAGCAAGACAGATGGACTGAAACAAAAGAGCAACAGAATGACCGGACTGTAATAGTCAATATTAACCAGGGTTAGAAAGAGAGCGCAAAGAGTAGCAAAGTAAAGAAGAGGTAATAGAGCAAAGCAGAGAGACAGGAGACAAGATATATGCAGCTGTGCAGTAGAGTGACATTTGAGAGTGTTGCCAACTGGAGGAACTTGTCATAGCCCCACCTGTCTTTATCCATACAAAAACAACTGGGCTACCAAGAACAGATTAGATATCACTGAAGCTACATCCTGCATTAAAGACATAAGAAGAGACAAGTTGTCCCAAAGCTTTAGCGGCTTATTCCTACATTTACTCAACTGGAGGTCTTATGGATACAGTCTATGCAGAGTTACAGTGAGCACATAAGCGGAGATAGTGTAGGTACCTATACTTTGGAAAGTATTGAGTGCACATGGTTAAATCACATGACAGTGATCAGGTGCGGCCTGTTGGCTTGACAAAATACTGGCGGACCATTACAGTAAGTGATGGCTCTCTATTATTTGCTTTTATGGTGTCTATTAAGGGTCCGTTTTTTTTTCATCAAATAAAGATATTAAAATAATTCAATTTACAACATGAATAGACATTTTCATTTATTTCCTCAATCACTCACTCTATTCACAACTCACTTATTCACTTCCTAACTCACAGCTGGTGCCATTTGTGATTTATCAATTCATTGTTTTATTAAATAAAAAAATAAAGACTTGACTGACAATTTACCGTCAGTCTAAAGACACAACAGGGACTAGAAATAACTAAATAGTGAACAGTGATTTGACATTTGTAAGTACAATTATCAAGTAATAAATAAGAAACACATATAGTATATTAATATTTGTATGTGATTCACCGATGCATTTACACACACATTTCTTTCCTTACTTTTAAATACCCTGAAATATACCTTTGTTTAAAATGATCAATACAAAAAGGTGTTCTCAATATGAGTATTATTCATACTCTTTTAAATGCAAGTACACTGAAAATACTGAACGTTGACTTTAATTAAATGTATTATGTCAGCACAGTTCACATCATTTGATTAGGTTAGTTGAAAGCAATAATATTAAGAAACTTAACAGTTATGTGAAATCTGTTGACATTCAGATTTTTAAGTGTACAGATGTACAGTATTAAAATCCGACAAATAACGGCTCTCATGAATGTTTCCTCGACTTGTCACTTCAAATAAGGACTTGGAGAAAGCCTGTTTGTTGAGTGTGTGTTATCTCTTACTTTGATATCATCATGGATCCAATAAAAGTAATGTATCTACTGTCTCTTCATATCTGCTGTTTTCCAAGACACCCTCATTTTAGTGAGCAACAGAGATTACAATCACATATCATTTCTAGCAGATTTATAAGACTTCACAGAATCTCCTTAAGACATTAGACCACCTCCACACACTCATGCACGCACACTGTATACAGTATATGTGGATGGTGCTCTCTCTATTTATTTTTTATCTCTCCATCATTCATTTAGCATCGTTTTCTCTCCCTTGGCATCAACACCGCTAACCATTTAACTGTATTTCTGCCCCTGACTCAATCTTTCCGTTTGGGATTCAAAGAAATTATACTTTGTTGCTTCTCCTCGTTTGTTGTTTGGTTACTCAGAAGGAATCGGCCAAGCACAACACACAGATAGGGATTAAAGTTATGTAACAGTTATGGAATTTATTTATTTTCTTTCATATAGTGATTATAATCAGCTTCATTTTATATAACAGAACTTATAGATAATTAGATAAATAAATAAGTAAGATGAGCAATAGTGGCGGCATTAGAATAAAATCAATGACAAAATGATAAGTCAAAATGTTTTTCTCAGCACCCACAGAAAAAGTGTGTGAACAATGAATATATTTGAGCTGTTACTGTTATACTAAATATATAAGAAGCTTAAGTTTAAAAACCCAACATTACAAATGCACAAAGTTTAGGTGTTGTAGACTATATTCTGACTTTATGCTGTCATCTAATTGAAAAAATACTTACTTAAGCCTTAAGTAAGTTGTTTAGATAATACCGGGGGGAAAAAGAAAAAAGGCTTGTTTTCTTATTCTAAATAGCTCTAAAGTATTTCCTCAGCCTTTTCTTTGTCCTTATTCCAACCCCAGATCACTGAGTCACACGAAAACAGAATTAAATGCTTAAAATATTCAGCTCGGATGTAGGAGGAAAACAAGCTGCCCCTCTGTTACTCAACGGGTCAGCAGGAGGTGCCTGTGGGCAGCTGCCCTGAAACCTCCACTCTGCAGGACAAGTAAGAGGTGAAACACTTTAACAATGACTCATTTGGCCAACTGAAGCTTTGTTAAAAGAGAGCTGTCATCTCCTGTATAAAAAGGCTACTATAATATGAACATCATCCCTCAAGATTTTCCACAGTCCATGTCCTACCTACTTTCCATCAAGGACAACAAGCAAGAGAGAGACAGTTTTTAATCCAGCCGCGTTAGTCCACTTATATTACAGTATCAACTGTCCACATTAACACAACATGTGATCAGTCTGTGGTTCTTCATCCCAGCTCTGTTTATTTTCTAGATAATGATCTTCTATATAATTGATCTGAAAACAATTCTTGTTTCAAGTATTTCTTAAACCAATATCCAGCAATGAAAAATACTTTTGAATAACATAAAAGTATTTGAATGTTGTATCTTCTGATCTCCTTTCACAGTTGTGATGTTTCTACGGAACACAGCATCTCACACGGGAAACAATAAAGCTGATTGATGACAGGAATGGAGCAAAGAAAAAGCCTCTTTAGTGTTTCATTATTTTTCTTCAATAAGTGGAATTGGAAATGTACTACCATGGCAAGATCCCAGTTTTGTGGCCATCAATTTCTTGAGGTTGGGCAAAGAAACTAAGTTTCCATTGTTAAGGAAATGCATGCCTGAACACACAGACACACGCACGCGCACACACACACGCGCGCGCAAACACACGCACACACACACACACAGTGAGCATTTGAATGCACCTTTTATAACCTAACTCAGGTAAATGTGCACAGGTGTCATAAATAACAGTATAAATATGACAGGTAAAAGAGTGTAGCCCAGGTAAAAGAGTGTAGCCCACCTTTACGGCCCTATAAGTTCTGCTCTGTTTTCCTTGGATGTCTACAGTTTCCCATTAAAGGAAGTGTGTGTGAATGCAGATGCAAATGAGGCATGTGTGTGTCAAATCATTCAAAACTGCCCAATGAACTTAAATCATTTTTACGTGTTGCCTTTCTGCTGCTTTAAAGGTGAGCGGATACGCTCTGTCAGGCGTATAATTTTGCTTTTGAGAGCTAGTGGAAAATATTTCGGGGGAAGCTTGAAGTGTTTAAGGAATTGTTCTAAAAATAGGTTCTCATCCCCCCTCGCTTTGCCTTTAAGTCCTGTGCACCCCACTTTGGCTGTAACTCAAGGCCTCAAACCCGCTTCACTTTCTTTAAATAACACTTATTGATTCCTGTTCCAATCCGGCACATCCAGAGATGTGTTTCTGAGCCTTAAACTTATGTAACTAGAGGTTAGAAGTTCATTTAGAATCAGGAGTTCCCCCTATACTGAAACTAAATGTGTCAAAGTGCTTTGAATAAATCTGTTTAAACCCCCAGAGCAGATTTTGTATATTTAACATTAAAATCGGCATGTTTAAAAGCTAGAATAAAAGGTATAGCTGTTCCTGACCATATTGTCCCATTTCTCTGAGGCCCTGCAGTGTTATTTCCCATCAAAATGAAATGTGACTCCAGAAGTCGTGCTTGCAAACTTCACTTTCCACCCCGTGTGCACTTTGGTAAAACACACTGTTTGCAGCCTGCTGTATCTGCACATCATTCTACGAGGCTGCTCGGTGTCTGGTGTACTCAGTAGCCTCTATTTCCACTGCCTGCATTCCTCTTCCATCCTTCCATAAAGCTGTAACATTTTCTCCTGCTGCCCCACTTTCTACACCACTCTGTATATTCATTATTGACATGTGCAGTTTCATGGCACCCCTGTTATCATGAACAATTATTTTATCTATTTTATCGCTCAAGGTTTGAAATATATAACGCAGTTTCGAACAAAACCCTACGTTTATCTGGCATTATGAATCTATAACAAGCAGTCGGGGGGTGACCTAATACCTTGAGAGGGGCAGCTGAGGAGTTACCAGTATCTCTTTGACATTATCCATTGCAAACACGTTAGCCGGTTGTTGAAGGCTCTTCAATAGGCTTTATGCAGCACTTGAAGACTGATCTTTAAACTATTAATCTGATTATAGACCCGTATCCTGCCGGCTCCTGCAGGTCCCTGCCTGCAGGAGAACAGTAAGCCCATTGAAACTAGAGAGGGGGGGCGGAAGTGAGCCAAGCTTCCAGCCCCGGTTCTCAAACTGTGAACCGCCTTTGGTCTCAAATTCTAATCTGTTTATTAATCAGCTCCTAAATTCCAGTTTGGCAACTTTTGAGCAGTTTGTGCAAAATGTAAGTGAAAGAGAGGCTGGGTTGGGGGTTCTGATCAATACTGGCTGGGTTCTGCTGACCTGAGATGGGGCAGAGTGGCAGCAGAGAGGAAAAGAAGGCAGTTAAATCTGGGAGGGAGAAGGTGGGAGTCAGGACGGGTGAGAAGCGGTGAGGATATGGGGTAGGGGTAACCTGAGAGGGACGAGGCATTCCTTGCAGGGCAGCTACATCTGCGGACACAATTATCCGCTTCACAAAATCTTACTTACAGTAGGGGAGAAAACGAGAAATGTTCTGAAGACGTAGGTGTTGTTTTTCGTACCTCACGCCCAAAATTAAGAGATGTTCCCTGGAGTAAAACCCAGAAGAATAAAAAATCGTCTTCAATGTGACTTTGGATAGGTATCCCAGACTTCTCCCATTGCTGTGCAGTGTTACCTACCTACCGAGAAGTTGCCAGCAGTGCCGGTGTAAACTCATCTAACCACATACTGTGATATCTCATACTCAGGGGTGTTTTTCTCACATCTGAGCGGAGCAATATCAGCTGACACAGCCCGCACTCTACCTCCCACAACACTCCAACCGTCACGCTCATCCTCGTCTCAGTATCACTCGCGCACTATGTCATATCAGAGGAATCTGCGATGGACCGTCTCGTACTTCCACTGCTTTTCATTGCTGTACATTAAGACTCGCAATATATCTGTTTGAAGAGGCACATATTATCTGAGAGTGGTAGCTTTCAATTATATTATATTTTTCAAAACATGTATTTTATTACTTTTGAGTATTTGGCAGGACATAAAACACAAGATGTCGTTTGATAAAAAATATTTTAGGGAGTTATACTGTGTGTGTTTGAAATTAAATGCATTATTTTCCATTTCATTTTATTGTGAAATAAGACAATTTTACCAGTCTACCATATTTATTTGTGTTACCCTCCACTGCAGTGTTAGGTGGTACATAGAATAATATTTGTTCTTGGTTGTTGTCAGTATTAGGTGGAAGGACAGGGATTTTGTGGCCTTTGCACTCGATCAATTTGTCGCTTGTAAAGTTGGAGATGTTTTTGGAATTGTGCTTACTCTACTGTTCTCATATTTATCTTTCTTCATCTCTTTTATTGTCATGAAATAATGAATGCGTCATCAAGGACTGTTGATGTTCCCTAGTTGCTTTTCTATTGGTTGTCCTCATTCAATTGTTACTTTGACTGTCAGAGCCTCCCATGATGCACCACGGCTTTCCTCCTTAAATCTATGATGTGGGAAATTGACTGATCTGACAGAACTTTAAAAAAAGAAATGTGCCTACCCATATTTTGTATTTTATTTAAAAATGTTCGCTGAGCAAGTATTTGTAATTGGTAACAACATTATTTTTGATGTATTTCATAATATAGACGGATCTGAAGCATCAAGTATGGATCTCTGATCAGTACAATGTGATAAACACCCTGTGCCCTCTCCCCTCTCTTTCTCGTTGTAGGTGTGGCAGTGCTTGTTTCTCCTGATATTCCTCTGCAGCTGGGGCTGGACAGCCGACAGCAGTTCTGCCTGCAGTCGCTGCCCAGTATGGAGCGAGAGCCTCTGCAGTACACCGTGTGTGTGGCCAACAATGTGAAAGCTGCTCACCAGGAAGCAGTGCAGCAACTGTACCAGCACAGCAGGGAGCTGCCCAACATGAACACACTGTGGTACGTTCAGTTAAGATGAGGATTAGTGGTGGGTTACTTGTCAGAAGTGGAACTTTGTTGATTCATATTATCAATAAATCAAGCCGTGGTGCATCTCAGATTCCAGTTACCACAGACTAAAACTTTCTGGGTATTTAGGGAGTGATAAACTACACTGTACCCAGGTTCCTCAGAGCAGCAGATCCGTATCATCCCTCTGTGTGTACTACAGGCTACCGTTCTGGAAGCTGCTCACTAACATGGATTCAGGGCCGAAGGTGGAGAGGGAGCTGAGGACTTTCTCTAATCGTCTGAAGAGACACCAGCTTGGGGAGGGAGTCATCAGCCTCAATGAACATTCCACCACCCTCCTCTCCGACATGGTACGAGCTCCTCACTCCTCACTGCCCGCCACACTGTCTCTTTACTGCAGCCTCAGAGTCTTTAGTATACTGGCAATCTTTAAAAGATAAAGTCATGCTGTTCTGCAGATGGATATGACTGGCACATGCATTGGTCTCTTGTTGCTCCTTAGCAGCGGACTGTTCTCTTAAAAGAAAATTAACAACCTCTGTAATGTCCAAATTGACCAATCAGAATCAAGTATTCAACTACGCTTTGTTATAAATCACATTAAAATGTATATCTGTGGGTTTTGACCAGACAAAGCAAGACGTTTAAAGACATCACCTTGGACTTTGAGAAACTGGGAATAGACTTGTTTCTATATTTTCTGACGATCAACGATTAATCGTGAAAATAAAGTGTGAGTGATGAATAATTGTTAGTTGCAACCCTTGGCTCTAATTATAAAAAAGTATGTTTGTACCAACAGAGAAGCTGTTTTACCAAAATGTTTGTAGCCAATGTTATCAAAGTTTTACTTTCTGTCATACTCTGGCAACCTTACATTAATTCGCATTTCACTTAAGCATATTCAGTTTAGTAGCCTTCTGCTATAAGCATATCTCTAATGGTGCAAATGATCTTTTATTCATCCTTTATTCTTGCCCTGTGTAGCTGTAGACTCCTGTAATCCTCCTCCTTAACCATCTGGGCTGTGAAGCTGGCGAGGGTTCATTGGTCAGAGGCTCAAAACTGGTCAAGCCTACAGTAGAGATGAAAGACTTTTCAATTTAAGTAAATCTCCAGAGTGCAGGAGACGGGCGAGGAGGGAATGAGGGAGGACAGGTTCACAGAAATGTCACAGCGTAGAAAAGAAAGATGGTTAAGTACTACATGTCCTTATGTTGAAAAATAAGTCTGAATGTAAACCACAGCACACTGGCCACTTCTTGGAAATATGTCTCATCATTTGTAAATCTGATATATCATGATCACAGACTATACTTCCAGTATTTGGGATTTCATTATACTGCCTAGAAACAGGACCACTGTCAAGTGGATCTAAGTCAATACTTGAGATCTTCCATTACAAAACAGATATAGCCGAGAGAAGACAAACAGAGACTCTCTGAACTGATCTCAGGTTGCTCTGAGCGTGGTAACCGTGGGATGGTGATGAAATGGTTGTGTTGAGACAAGAAGGGATGTCAGCCAACACAAACTTGATGCAGCGATCTGACCTGAACATGAAATATAGGAGGAGGCAGAGTTTATTATACATACACAAAGCCTACATTATGTTATGTTGTTCAGAAGGTGTGAGGAATAAGTCAACGTTAAAACAAGTTTCCTTTACCCACAATGTGAAGTTTTCTGGTACATCAAAGGTATTGTTGTCATCCAGTTCCCCTCCATAAATGCCATAAAGAATAAGCCATCTGTACAGTGCTGCCTGGAAACGTATGGAATTTGTCCATTAAGTGTACTGAGGTGTAAAAGGCAACAATGACCCTCTGTACAAAAATGTAAATAAAACTAGGCTTCTCTTTAAAGCCAGTTTTACAAGTGTTCGTAAATTATCAGTCACACTTCTTTCCGAGTTTCCATATTAGTGTGGAATTACAGGCACTGGAAGTAGAGTTATTATTAGGCTGTCATGTTTCTAAAAGTATTACTCAGACTAAATAATGCAGCTTTTCGCAAATCTACTATAAAAAGATGTGTGGGTCATCTTTTTCACAATTTATTTTATTTTGTCAATTATGCAGAACTCAAATTCAGGGTAGAAGCAGGACAAAGGGGAGCATTACGAAAATTACATAACCTGCTAATCCACCCTTTTCTTCCTACAGCTGGTTTACCTCCTGGGGTCATTCGTTGTATTCTTAAAAGGTTTAATTCCAGAGTTATGTAACCTGACATCTCTGTTTTGACTTGTCCATGTAAATACCAAAGGATTATGATATACGGTAAAAGGGCAAAAGTCATATTGTAGGTCAACCCTTTGAGAAACTCTATGATCAACCTACCATTATAATAACATGTTAACATTGTCTCTGACTGCAATGTCCTGTACCATAACATCTACAATATAGGGTCCTACGATTTAATAAAGTGAGATTAAAGCATTCTTTTGTGGACCAGTCTATCCTTAAAATGTAAAACTGAAATAAATCCTGGATCAAATGTCGGCAAGGGGTCTTGGAAATATTGTCTATGTTACGTTAAATGTATTTTCCCTTGGTTCTTGTCCTTGTTGATGTTGGAAATGGAGCTGCTGACTTGAAATGACGAAAAAGTACGATACGATACAGTGATTTGAAGTGTAGCATTTATTAAGATGTAAGGCTTCCCTCCGAGTGTAGAATGTTGACACTTTTCTAACTGTTGATTCAGATATGACAGTGAATGTCTCTGTCTCTCTGCAGGACCATAACTACCTCAACAGCAGGAAAAGGGGGATGTCCAAGAGACTGACCAGGGACCTCCCACTTGTCAAGCTTCTTAACATTTCCATCACCCTGTCCCCTTTCCTGGGCGTGGACAACACGCAGTTCCACACCTCCCTCATGGACGGCACCGAGGCCTTCTGGCTCAGCCTCCCCTCAGCGCCTCAGGGACAGCTGGTGAGAACTGAGTGGACTTCATCATCATCCTGAGAAGCACTTGGCTGCGTTCCCTGTCCTCTGCATGTTAACTTTTACCCGAGGTTTCTCTAATTTCATTCTGGTTGTTGTTGTAGTAAAGAGTTGCCTTGTGATCGGTCCATTCACAGAAAACATATTCCATGTCTAAAACGTAGAATTTTCCTCAACTTTTGAGAACCCCCATTAAAAAGAGAAACCAGAAACAGCTATTTTTTCCAAAGTAGACAATTTCCATCTGCCCAGCCTGTCTCTTCTCACAAGTTGCAGATTGATAAAAAGCAGAGCAGTTTGAGCATGGCCTAAAACAGAAAATCTAAAACTGCAACAGCGGAGGAGCCGTAGTTAATAATGAATTGCAAAAATAGAAAATGATCGTTGTGTAAACTCTACTTCTCCCCTTTAGATCCCTGTGATGAGTCAGTGGCGAGGAAAGTTCTGTGTAAAGCTAAACATCACCAACCCTGGAGCGGTGAGCTGGTTTCTGGACAGGGTGGGGTCCCTGCAGGCACACCTAGGGATGGAGTATGTGGTGCTGGAGGGGGCAGAGGGGAATCTGTTTGAGGAGCAAGCTCTGAGGCCTCCACAGGCTCTCGGGGGAGACAAGTACATCAGCCTGCTGGCCGACATGGCCACACGGATAGGAGACTCCACCATCGTGACAGCGGGGACACGGTAACTCCCTCGAGCATCAGTACCAACTGCCACTGTTTACAGAAAGAGATGTTTCCCAATGTGAGATTACTCTTTCTACTTCTTATGATGCTATTTGTGTCTCAGGTCAAGCCACAAGCCTCTGTTTGTGAGGATGAGCCCCTTGCAGTCCGACTGGAGCCCAATGGGCCTGAAGGGCATAATTCCCTCCCTGCTGCACCACACTCTGCTGGGATACAACTTCCTCATTCCTGATGCAGTAGGTAATACCACGGCCTATGAGTACATTTTCTCACCTCAGTACATCATATGTCCCAAAGAGAGCATCTTTATTTCACTACTTCATAAAAAAATAGACACAAAATAGCTCTAGATGTTCTTGTTTTGGACATAAATTAGGTTAATTCGTGTAGTATAGCAAATTCCTGCAATAGCCAGTCAAACAGCTGATGTCTATCTGGAAGATAGACAGAGTGTCAGTGCTACAGACAGAATAGACGACCTGATATTTGCTCTCTGACCTTCGTAAAACATGGCACGCTCATGTGCCCCATACTGTATGTCACTTCTGGTAGGTGTGAAAATTGTGACTTTATAATTTCCTTAATTCACTATTTCCTCCTATCAATGTATTAATGAATTATTTATTAATCAAACACCATTCATATAAGCCAGATCCTGAATGCGAAATTTACATTTCAAACAACACCACAAAGACCAAATTTGTCAAGGTCTTGCTAAAAAGACAACCTGACCATGTCTCCAAAGTCACCTCGCGTACATGTTTCCTCTTGGATATTTTTGAGTCATTTTCATGTTTGGCATTTTTCTCTGCCTCTCTCTCTCCTTGCAGGTGGTTCTCTCTCTGGAGACCTGGTCACAGATGAGGAGTTGTTCATCCGTTGGCTGGAGATCACAGCTTTCCTTCCTGTTATCAGCTTCCACACGCCACCCTGGGTCTGCGGAGAGGACCGGGTAAACTAGAATATTTTTTGTAAAAAACATTACAAAGCAGAGCCCCCCATGAAGTCACCTTAACACACTCTAACCCTGCACTCTGAATTTGAACCACACCGCAGAGCCATGTAGGCTGAAGAGCAGTCTTTACATTTTTCTCACTGACATTAGAAAAGATTACAATAGTGTTCAAAAAACAGGTTTGTGTTTTTTTCAAGATTTGTTAACAAGCAAGATTATATTTCCTTCTTGGAAAAAAAACAAGAGAGCAGGAGTTTAACCAAGCAGCCTCTCCTCAGTTTTTGAGGGTCAGGATGAGAAGTTCCCACCGGTGTGTTTGCAGGAGGCATGAGGGCTGCTGAAACCTGGTCTATCAGAACTTCAGATTCAGGACTAAACCCTGTCCCTCTCTGCTGGAAAGCAGGAATGTACAGTTCACCTTGCCCGGCAGGAAAACAAAGCCTACAATCTCAGCGAGTCCAGTGACAGACATCGATACTTTTCATGGCTCAGGTTCCCACCAGGAGGGTTAAGTCTATTTTTTTACCCCCTCCCTTGTCCTTTCCTCAATGGGAGCGATGGCTTGGCCCCCTCCCGACATCACCTGTGGTTAGGAGTACATCTGTTCTGAATTGCAATCCCTTCTCTAGATGTATGGCTCACTCTCACTCTCAAGAGCCACTTCAGCAGGAATGATAATGAATTTGGGGACAAGTCTTGGAAAAATACTTTATTGTGGCAATTAACATTTCCATGAGTAATTGACAAGTGTGACAGAGTGGGAGTGATCAACTTTTTTCTTCCACTAGGAGAGAACTGAGGAAGCGAAAATATATTGGTTGTGATTTGTATTGCGTGACAATGATAAAAATAGGCCTTTTGGACAGCTAGACGTTTGACAGCAGCAATGTTTTCTATTTCGGTCTCATGCGTGGCCTTCAATTTATAAACTCGGATGAAGTGGGCCTAAGAAGAAACTTTGGAGGAGACCTGCTTTATACATGCTTAATGCTTAGTTTAAATGTGGCACACCTTCATTTCCAGAATGTGGGATTGTTCAGTCGTAGACAGGTCACAGCAGCGGCTTTATTGGAATCAAACCTCAAACCCACACACATGCCTGGCTTCTCATTTACATTACATTGCATTTAGCTGACGCTTTTATCCAAAGCGACTTACAATAAGTGCGTTCGACCAACAAAATACAAACTTGAAGAAAACAGAATCATATAAGTACATCAGGCTTCATAGAGCAAAAACATTTCAAGTGCTACTCAACTGGCTTTAGATAAGCCAGCCCTTTATTAGTATATAAGTGCTTTGTTAATAGTTCTATCGCTCGAAGTGGAGTCGAAAGAGATGAGTTTTCAGTCTGTGCCGGAAGGTGTGTAAGCTATCTGCTGTCCTGATGTCAATGGGGAGCTCATTCCACCATTTAGGAGCCAGAATAGCAAACCCACGTGTTTTTGCTGATGGGAACTTGGGTCCCCTTCGCAGCGAGGGTGCAGCGAGCCGTTTGGTTGATGCAGAGCGGAGTGCACGTGCTGGGGTGTACGGTTTAACCATGTCCTGGATGTAGGAAGGGCCAGATCCATTCGCAGCATGGTACGCAAGTACCAGTGTCTTGAAGTGGATTCTAGCAGTTACCGGAAGCCAGTGAAGGGAGCGGAGGAGCGGCGTGGTGTGGGAGAATTTAGGAAGGTTGAAGACCAGGCGAGCAGCTGCATTCTGGATGAGTTGCAGAGGTCGGATGGCACATGCAGGTAGACCAGCCAGGAGGGAGTTGCAGTAGTCTAGGCGTGAGATGACGAGAGCCTGGACCAGAACCTGCGTCGCTTTCTGTGTCAGCTGGGAACGTATCTTCCTGATGTTGTAAAGCGTGTATCTGCAGCAGCGGGTTGTAGCAGCTATGTTTGCAGTGAAGGACAGGTTGTTATCTAGAGAAAGATCCACTCAAACCCGAGCTGTGACTTCAAGCTCATTCCTTCAAATGTTCTCAATCCCAACTCATAAAAAGAAATGTTTTATAGATGTGGTTTTTGTCATGGGACACTGAAGAGGATGTGACCCTTCCAGGAATGCTGAAGGAGTTTGGACAGAGGGAGACAGGAGAAAGACGTGGACACTGTTAAAACCACTAAGTCAAAAGTTTTGTCTACATGTCTGGATGTAGAGATGGCACAAATGGATTTTGCAGAGCTCATAGTTATATAATATCATATATAATATTAATACTATTCATGTCCTGAACTACTTAAGGCAGATGATTTTGTTAAGGAAAGGCCTTTTTTGTTTTAGTTTTTCAAAAATATATTTTGCCGGATACTAATGAAACACACGCTTGTATGCAAAATGAGACCCACATGTTGGCTGACAATGACTACACTGTAACCTTTTTGGCTGTACATTTACAGTAAATTACTGGCTACTAGTTGCATGGATTTCACAGTAATTTACTGTAGATATTTTACAGTAAATTAGAATAAAATTACAACTACATACTGTGACTTTACAGTTGCCATGCCCATGGAAGTACTGTGATAAAGCAGTACAGAGCTGTGGTATTATGGTACCTTGCTGTACATCAGTGATGAGCCGTCAGGGCCCTCTAGGCCCTCTGTGAGGGCCTAAGATATTCTAAAAAATAATATATTAAAACATAAAAAACAAACATTTTTAGTGACGTTGTGACTAAGATATAGGGGGGCATCCAAATCCGGCAGCACCTGCTCTGCCGGATATGGATGCCCCTCTTTAGTTTTTTACCTGCTGGGCCCAGAGTAAAATGCTTTTGTGAGCACAAAGTACAGGGGAACAGCGTGACGTTGTGACTGTCCTGGACAAAGTTGTAGGGGGGGTGCCATATCTGCAGGAGAAATACCTGCTCTGCTGAACATGTTATGTAGAGAACAGTGCAGATCTTCCCTATGGACACCAGGAAAAACCTAGTCTAAAATAAGGAACATTAATAGTGTGATATAGGCACAGATTAGATATAAGATCAATAATACACTTGATTTTAGGGCACCTTTCAAAACATTCAATGTCACCTTAAAATAAAAATAAAAATATGAGTGGCATTACAATACAAACATGTGTTGAGTAGGAAACCACAGAGGAAAATTACATTCAAAGGAGCCATTCAAGCGAGTGAACAAATGATCTTTTAGGCTTGATTGAAAATAACAGTGTCTGACATTATCATGTTATATCATTACTGTTATATCATTGCTTACTATTCTTGGTTATCAAGTATCAGACACTTAAACAACAGAGAAGGTTTTAAGAAATAGGACTATACTGACAAATGACATCATTATTATCCTTTCATTGTCTGTTCTGTAGGAACATAACAGAGTGGGACTACACTTAAAAACTGAAGTTTGTTCCAATACGAATATTGTGTCCTTAAAATGAGCCACCTCGCAATTGTATGCACATTATTTTTTCAGCCGTTTGCTGTTTAATTTGATGGGAAATATACCATTCAAAAGAGAGAAAAATCTTAGAAAACTAGGCGAACGCTCAATACAGGCGAGGACGTCACCTTTGCACGTCCCCGCGAACAGGGCTTCAATCTACGGCAAGCCTTCAACCTATGGCACAACACCGGTCTTCAGCATATTTTACCGGACTATGACCGTTACCGGCTAACAGAAACTCTGAACACCAGATATTTCAGACTGTCTGTGATCACATTAAACAAAACTGGAGCAAGTCTAAATAAAAGCACACATTTTCATTTAAGTAAAGGGGAACAAAATGCGTTGAATTACATGCTATCAGAGTAGTGACAGGTGTTTCTTCTCGTTTTTGCTTGGCGCAGAGTGACTGGGGGTGTTTCTCAGGGTGTTTCTCAATCTCGAGTAAAGCTGCTCCAGAGCCACTATTTCAAGCATACTACGTCATCGAGTGCCGCCGAAGTACTGTTCCAATATCCAGCATACTTGGAATTCTACCGAGCCCGGCGTACTTAGTTTGGAGAAATGTCGAGGCTGCACATGTGTAGACTCTGCGGTCTTAAGATCCCCACAATGCTTTGCGCACGGACCAATTTCCCCAAATCTGTGCCGGAAAATGTAAGGCGGGGCCTCTCATATGACGCACACCTGCACACTTGCTCGCCTGTTCCACTCTTCGTTTTCCGAATGCCAGGAAGTATTCTTGCCTCGCTTCTGAAGCAAGACGCTCGGAAGACATGTGCTACCAAGCAAGCGTGCTCGAGATTGAGAAACACCCACAGTGACTCCTGACTCGTAGCAGTTACTTGCCGTTCGAAATCTTTTGCGATCCCACAATGCAGCAGTTCACGCAATTTGTCGTGTTATCACCACCTTATCACCGGTTATCACAGAGGATGGTCTGAATACAGTATTTTACTATGAAATAATACAGTAACATGTTGTGAAATCCTGGTAATAATTTATCCTTTACATTCACAGTAATGAACTGTGCCAGCATTGATTTCACTGTGAAATTCAAAATTACAGTATTATATTATGAACATTACAGGTAAAGACTGTAAAGTGGTAAAACAGTAATTTATTGTAAAATATTACAGCTAAATATTGTGAAATCATGGTAATATTTTACAGTGTACATTTAATTCTTCAGAAACGTAATTTAATTAGAGGGCACATGGAGGCACTACTCAATATGGAAATAAATAATCATACAAAATAATAAATAAAATGTAAAACTCTTAAGTAGGGAAGGGTTTATGTAGGATTGAATTGGTGATTGCGATGAAAATACTTACGACCAGTTGATCGAGGTGAATTTCCAATATCGAGATATTATCTTCTCATAAGGGACTTATGAAAACAATAGAGCCTGGTATAAAAAATAAACAGTAGGCTATTTATACAGCGTTGTGCTACCACTAATAATTTGTTGCTGAAATCTTCATCTCGTTTATGCTCTTCTCTCTTTTGACTCATAGGTGTTAAACCTCACACGGGCCTACATAGCGAAACACCAGAGGGATGTGGTCCCACTTATAGAAAAGTATGCAGATGAGTGGCAGATGACGGGAAACCCCATCTACAGGCCGATGTGGTGGCTCAGTCCCAGTGACCCTGTGACTTTCACCATCGATGACCAGTTCCTCATCGGAGACGAGGTGACCTGATGGAAAGGGATGGGGTTACGATGTACTTGGCATGGATGGTTTATGAATGTAACCTGATGTCTTGCTAATTAAGTGCACAATCTTCTTTGACATCTGAATTTGTTTTTACCAATTTGCATTTCCAGGTTCTAGTGGCACCGGTGCTGGAGAAGGGGGCAGTGCAGAGGGATATTTATTTACCTGACGGGGGCTTCCAGTGGCAGGACAGCCGCGATGCTCAGGTGTTTGACGGGGGGGACGTTCCTACAGGACTACCCTGTGCCCTTGGAGGACGTGGCTGTCTTCTTTCGCAGAAGCTGAGTCACATGACTGATCCACTGAGTCACCTGACTTATCCTGTTACTGTTTTGAATCAAATCCTTTTTTTTTTGTATTACTAGTGCTGTTCTTAACTTGCACTTTTCCACTAAAGACTATTGACCCTGTCTCAGGGCTTGAGATGATATGTAGAAAGATTTTTTTTATACTTGCACTTTACAGTTCATTATGATTTTTTTTCCTTTGTCACAATTGTTTTCTTACTTTTGAAAAAATGTTAATCAGTTTTACCTCTTGGCTGATTTGTTTCCGGACTTTTTGATCTGTTCTGCTTTTTTTTGTATGTAAGTTCCGGATAAATCTGTGCGTTTACATACCGCATTTCTACAGTCTTTAAATTGCTTCTGGCTCTCTTGATAAGGAGGAACAAAGAATCGGAATCTCTCAAGAAGACCAAATGAAGATATAGCAGAACTAAGGAAGAGGCTTATTGGGAGGAACTAGCTCACAGAAAGCTTCGTACAGAGGCCGACGCACCGTGATACTGTATGTTTTCTAACTCATCGGAGAGGCTTTTACTTGAACTATTCAGGCCAAAGGGCTGATGTTTGATGAATGTACCTCAAGTTATGGTTTTGCAGTGCTTTACAGAGTCATTAGACAAAGCAATCTTACCCCTTAGCACTTATTCAGTAGTTCAACTTAATTTATCAACATACCACTCTGTCGGACACGTATGAATGTCCTTTAGTGCTGTAGGCCAGATATACTTGAGGCCAAGCCACTGTAATTGTACCTCTGGCTACATTTGAATTTAGTTTATTTGTTGCCTTCATACTGACCTGCTGTAGTAAGGTATTTTTTTGTATCTCTGATTTTGATGTGCTCTTCAGAAGAAATCCTTGTTGACGACACCGCAGAGCAGAGTCCCCATTAGAATATGTTTTCGCCGGTCAACGTGTCCGTTAAAGTTTAAATCTTCCGGACAAAATTTGAAAAGTGCCGGTCAAAGGTCTTCTTAGTTATTTATTGAGCTTTAAAACAAATTGATATGATTCGATATCAAACAAACTAATTATAGTAGATTAACTATTCAAAAGTGTACAGTAATTTACAATAACACGGGAATAATAAACGTAACGCTCTCTCCCTCTCCTGACAACCCGTCAGTATCATGCAGCTCGCGGATCAGTAATGAGTGACCCGACAGTAAAACTAAACATTTCTATAACTAGTTTAGGTAGTTTGAGAGGTAATTAAAATAGCTACGTGTGATATTCTAACCTGAAGTGTGTTTTGTTCCGCTCACCGCTAAATGTGATTATGCAGAGCTGCGTCGACTCGTCAGCAGCAGCTGATCTCTCTCTCCCGTCAGATTAGACTTCACTCACATTTATGTCCATATCGATCAGATCTAGCTAGTTCTAGCTAATGATAGAACTACCTGCTTATTAAAAGACACCTAAACAATAAGCGTCACTATGCAACCGGGTGAGGCCGCAAAGTATAGCGCAGCATTATGCATGTGTTTACATGCCCACCGGAACCCCGAGGCATTACCAACAGATCAACGCACAATCAACCCATACAGGACATCTCTTTCTCCACATTAAGTGTTAGACATTATAATTGACTAATGTCACATAAGTGGCGCAAGTTGCGCAACTGATGCGGTATTGCGCTAAAGGAGAATTATTTTTGACCGGACACTTTGACCGGAGAGATTTAGATTTGCCGGTCTTCAGCATATTTTACCGGTCATAGTCCGGTAATTACCGGCTAACGGGAACTCTGCCGCAGAGGTTGAAATTAGCTTTTTAATAGATAGTTACAAATGTTAGGAAATACACTTATTTGCTTTCTTGCTGAGAGTTAGATGAGCAGACCGATATCTGTGTCCCGCCCCAGTCTCACGGCATTTCGTGTTATAGTCACGGAATTAATTTAATCTATTGATTCGTGTTCACCAACACGATTTCCGCATTTCTTTCGTGTCACACAGAACGATTTTAAGAGCAATGTATTTCTATTGGTAGTATGTTTCGTGCCTGCACCACGTCTTTTTGTCCGGTGTGGTTCATAAAAACATTTTCTTACTCAATATTTTACCCTAAGCCCAACCCTTTTATTTTAAATAGTATAATGTTATAAATGGGGCTCAGAGCCTCAGAATACTGAATTTGAAATCTGTATTTTTTTAAATCTTTTTTTCCTTCTAAGTTGTTATTATTTGGTGCAGGCACGAAACATACTACCAATATAAATACATTGCTTCTAAAATCGTTCTGTGTCAGAATAATGAGATCTGTATTTTTTTAAATATATTTTTCCTTCTAATTTGTTATTATTTACATTGCTTTTAAAATCGTTCTGTGTGACACGAATAAATTGGGAAATCGTGTTGTTGAACACGAATCAATAGATTAATTTCGTGACTATAACACGAAATGCCTTGAGACTGTGTTGCAACATTGAGCTAGCGCAAGTGGTTGCTTAGCTTAGCATAAACAGCTAGCCTGGTCCAAAACTAGCATAATCTGGGAGCATGGTCTTCAGGGTTCTCTGCTGCCTTGGTCCTGTATGTTCCCAGATTAACATCATCCTAATATTTGTTACTAAATTGATCTTCAAAAGATGTTATGTTCTCCATATGTTGAAATCATCCACATCCAGTAAGCCTGCTAACAGTTGTAGGCCTACTCCTTCAAACGTACACATTCAAATTAGCAGGCAAAACCATTTTTGGATTTATAAATTCATATCTCCACAGTGGCTTTACAGATTTGTAACATTAAAAATGTCCATAACCCTTTGTTCTTTTACAATTTCAACCATTTTCTCGCAATGTCAGTTTATATCAAGAACATAGGGATTACCCACAAAATCTGACTACCTGCACCTCTTACCATATAAAGAGGACTCTCCATTTCAATCAATTTTAGTCTCGACAAGAAAGCAAATAACTGCATTTCCAGAGATGTCAAACTATTTTTCCAATAGGACAACATGGGGAAAGCAGCTTTTCTGAACCCAACGTATAAGGCTACAATGCTATCATTCATAACAAATCTTTCTATGGCAGACACCGTGGATTTTATTTTGCCGATACAAAAAGTCACAGAGGTGCAGTGGCCACTTCGCATAAACCCTGACGAGTAAGCATCTTACTCTTTGGTTAATTGTAATCACAGCATGTATTGCTTGCCTTAATTCAGTTGGATTACTTATGTGAAATGTTTTTAATTGGGTTTTAACCCTAACTATATGCTTTAAGCTAATAATGCAAATGACACAACTGATTTTGCACCATGATGCATTGCTCAATGTACAGTTAGTTAGTTTGCTTTTCTTTATTGATTTGTTCTTCACAAGACAATCTTAACTGGCCAGCAGTGACGACGACACAGACTCCGAAAACGTATCACTTTTAGTGAATACTTTACCACTAAACTGATTGTGTAATTTTGATCTAAAACGTTTATTGTATCAACTCAAACACTCAGGTCAACTGAAGCTTATCAAATCACCAAATGTCTTAGTGCAACGCAGTATGTTGTGAACACATCGACGTCTTAATCTCTCCTAGAGCTGAATGTACAATGGACAAACTGTGATTTCCCCAACCAAGCCCTTTGTTCGATGAGCTTTGTCTAGTTCCCGTTCTAATGCTTTTATGGAATGCCGTGGTATGTTCATGTATAAATTGCAGGAAAAAGCTTTGATGTGTTTATTCCTTCTCTCTACAGACTGTGTGTATTGGGCCTTAATGTGCCACTCTTAAATCTGGACGACACCAGTGTCTGGATTATTGCAGTATCAGCAATGTACATATTACGATGACTGTGCCATTACAAGTGTTTTTCTCTTCTGTAAATCAGAGAACTTAGAATGACAAAGTTGCAATAAAGTTTACATTTTCTTACTTCACTTTGATTAATTTAGTCAATAATTATTTCAAGACATCTTCATGTGTTAGCAGTGCACACAGTGGGAAAAGACAAGGTTCTTTATATCTGATAACATCTGGCCTGAGGTCTGAACATGTGCCTCTGTGTGTTTTACTGTCTGGCAACTGGTCTACCTGCCACCAAAAGATTGTGGGATAGGCTTCAACAACCAGTATGACCCTTATGAGATACATGCAAGTATGGGAAATGAATAAATGATGATCTTGGAAATAATTGCTTTACTTGTGATATTTGTTGCATCTATATCCATGTCAGCTGGCTCCTGTGTGAGTGTAGGCCTACATGTGTCAGTGTGTAAGGCTCTCATAATTAACGCCTCTTGCTCTTCCGTCTTCTCATGTCAGAAAATCTCTCATGTCAGAATGTGTATATATCTGTGAACATGCTGACGACTAATATTTCCACTAATTCCATTTTAACCCAATAAAAGTTATTTATAGATTTGGTGAGCACGCAGTGAGAGAGATTCTCAGGGGAATCACATTCAGCTCAACCTCCCGCTAAGCTTCTCCTCCTTACCTTCCTCTCCTGCTGCCCCTTTGGCTGGGCTCCACCTCGGGGCCCCAGGCTCTGCTCCTTTAGGGCAGTCAGACAGGTGCAGCAGGCCGCAGACATGCCCGGCCCCTCCACGCCAGCCACCAAGCTCTCCCTCTCCGTTTACACCCTCTTCTTAATCACTTAGATTCATATGGCGCTTTTTGAAAAACTGGGCGCCCAGTTCTCAGCCAGATAAATTCACAAGACATACTCGTGTGGCACCATGGTTTGTGAGGTGATGAAGTTACAGTGTCGGAGGCTTAGAGGGGAATCTGCTTGAGAGGACAGCAGAGGTTAGAGGGCTTGAGCTGGGTAACGTTGTAAAACCTTATGTGACCTTTATCGCTCTTAAGGATTTGTTGGTTAAAATTAAAGGTTCAGTCTGTAGCATATAGGGGGATATACAGTATGAGCAGGGTTTTTTTTAAAAAAAATCTTATTGTGTAAGTATTTTATAAAAAAATCGAAGATCAACCCTACAGTATTGTCACATCATCAATATTGAGGTATTTGGTCCACAATATCGTCCTTCAGGAT